CGGTGGAGTACCATGCTTCCATAAATTCGCGTTCGTTTTTTGTTCTTGCTTGAGCCAATATGCAGACGCAGCTCCAGTCGAACTCGTGTCCTTCCTGATCTTTGTGTGCAGAGATGAGGGANGTGCTGAGCAATCTCCAGCTCAGCTGGTAGCCATCGCGGTATCACACGGGACGCTGTTAATGTACGTGGTTGCCTACTACAATGGATCTGTAAACCACAGTTGCTGACTTTTTGCACGTAAACCAAAGTGGTCTAAGGCAGTCCATTGCTATCGGGTTTGTGCATTCTTTGTGTTTATGAACGTTTTAGTGTAGAGTCGTCCTGTCTCCCCTGTAGTTTCAATTAGTCAGTTGAGGCCAGTTGGTTGCGAAGCCTGTTTACTCAGGTTAGGTGTTGATAAGATCTTAATGATTGCACCTTGTCTAAGTAACTAATTGACAGTAGTCGTCATTAGAGCAAGACCGTACTGAGACCTAGGTTCCAGAAGGATGTGTGAATATCATCCTAGGGAATGCATTCACTCATTGCTCTTCTGGCGTCGTATTTTGTCGATGAAGTCTCCATTGTTGCTTCTTGATTGTCGAACTTGGAGATCTCAGGCTTTGAGTTGTCTGAACCTGATTTTCATGGACTGATATCCTTTTACCAAAGTCACCAGCGGCGCAGGATATATTTCATCTCCAGTGATCCTTCAGTGCAGGACGCCTCCACAAATCGGGCATGAGGCCAGTTCTGCGGACTCTCTCCTCCCTGAAGGATCGTCCCTGATTTGAAACGCTTTTTTATTTTGAGGAGGACTAACCTCTGTTCGGGACGTCTCTTCCGGGTGCTGTACGTCATAAAGTTCCGCATACGCATGGGGAGCGTCAGAACTACTTATATGTGTCCTTTTGTCACCATGTACGAGGTAACAAGTAACAGTGGTTCAAAGATCTGTCTTCTTTTTAACAAACGGCTCTTCCTTCTTCGATTTCGTCTTCCACTCCAGTCCCACCCGTGATTTGAGTTAGCTCCTTATACTGAAATCTCCGACCATCGCTTTTCCGGATCCCTATCCCGTGGGTATAATGGAGAACAAATGAATGTATACTTATTGCATTGGACAGATGAGTACGAATCCGCTCACTGTTTGGTCACCATTCTCTTGGTGTCTTGCAGATCTGTTTTGGCTGTGCAAAGGTCACGTATTCCTGGGCAGGGTCTTGCTAGCTATCCTTATTCTGGCTCATTCATGGTAATTTGTGAGAGCTGCGTGACCTTGGGCGTATAAATGCAGATGTTTTAATGCCAACCGTCTTCGGTGGCGATTTCCAATGAGTTTATTCTCTGGCCTTAATTGCAAGACGAAATATGACTGCAAACAGCTCTACACTACGAATTAATTGGATTTGGACTGTATGAAAATAGGCGCAAAC